GGAATTATTGGTTCTGTTGCAACCAGTCGTTAATGGCTGTACGAAGAATGAGATTCGGGGTGAGATTGTGATTCTCGAGCCTAAGGTTTGTCATGGGCGATTTTTCATCTCCGACTCTAAGCCACGTTTTGAACTCCTCTTCTTCATAGGTGTAACCATCGGCTGCAACATGGGGATTCCGCATAATCTCCTACATTCAGAAGCAATGGCAATGTTTAACATTAGGCAACAGACCAGCAATATCAAAATGCGAGGTTAGCGTGAAGGCTTAGTACACTAAAGTTGAGATATTGAGTTCAAGGCAACTCAAGATCTGATAAGGTATGAATCCTGACCTTTGAAATGGGACAGATGAAGTATGGAGGAGGCTCGTTGGAAACAAACCACTGCAAACGGGAATGTGATGATGGCGCACCTTCCTCCAGGCTTAGATGTCTCAAAAGTTCTTCATTTGCATTGATAGCTTCGTCTCGCTGTTCTTCGAGTTCTTTCTGGACCTTTTTCATATCTTCGATTTCTGCTTTCGCTCTGTTTAGTTCCTCCTCCGCTTCTCTCCTGCGGCGTACTTCGTCATTGTAGAGTATCTGAGTGACACCAAAAGAACTTGAGAGTGCTTCCCATCTTTCACGCACCATCTGATCGTACCGCTCCTTTTCTCTCTTTAGTTCCTCAATTTCTAGTCTCCATCTCTGCTCCTCGTAATGCATTGTCTCTAACCCTCTAGCCTGTTAAAAATATTCATGACAGTGAACAAATTAGAATCCCATCTACTGGAAGTGGAAGATATATACCACCACCGCACATGGTAAACTTGACATTAAAGTCACACATATGTATTATGTTTTTCAGTACCCAGAGCAGACAACGAGACAAATTTGGGGTAACAAGGATTTTACGTACTGATCTGTCTTCAGATGAAGACGGGGCATGTGACTCGGTGCCATGTTCAGCTCTTCCTGCTCCCTCGTATGGGATCAGAGCAGAATCAAGGCCGGGACGGCTGCTTAAAGATTCAGTCAGAGCAGAATCAAGGCCGGGAAGGATGCTTAAGGATTCAGAGGAACCCACGAGACCAAAACCCCCCTCTCTATTAAGCAAAGAAAAAATTTCTGTTAAACTTTACAATTCTACTAAACTCGCAGAAGTATAATCCTCCAACTTACCTGGTTTGGATGAAGTTCCCATTACATACAAGCCATATTTTACAGCAATGAGGTGCATGGCGACTTACGTACTCGGCTTTTGTAGAAGTGATATTAACCATACCCCTGCATCATCAAAGACGTATAACCAAGAATTATCAACTGCATCGTTCTGGAGGCACAAAACTCTTGTGATGAAATCCTTACTCGGTGTAGTGGGAATCAGCTGCTGCTCCCATGATGAGCATCTCAATATTGTTTTGATAGATAAGTTCCACAATCCCTTCCCCAACATTTTCTGCCTCAATTAAGCGTACATCCACATCGTGTTCGACAACCTGAAACATAACCAGTTCTATAACATTTCCGATGTGTGCAAAAATAAACGGTCATCTCCTACAGATTCTAATCAATACTTGTTCTTGTAACCACAAGAGTATGTTTTTAGATTCCTCTTGTTTTCTTATCATGAGACAATTGTATTCATGAGTTGGAAGAACACTCACTCCTTGTTCTTCGCAGATATCACGGTACTTGTAAAGACTCTCATATGAACTTGCCAGTTCCGACTCCTGGATTGCAGTGATCTCACTTTGCTGTAACCCACTTGCTGGAATCCACAAACAGAAGACCAAACATTAGAAAAAAAGGAAACTTGGATTTAGTAAAAATTGATTCAAGAAGGTAAAACTTAATCTTTCTGTAATCAGGAATCATTTCGCTTGACATAACATCAGCCACACATAAACACAAAGCTGCAACCATTTAACACCCCCACCAACCTTACTTCCTATGATCCCAAGACTCTTAAGATGATAAAAATAAAACTTCATCACCAATGAAATTAGATGCAAAACAAGGTTAAATTTTTTGTTGATCCATAACCATCAGATGCTTGATAAGTGTAGTAGACTAGCACCAAAACAGAGAAAATAAAAAAAAATCTTGGACTATTCATTAGAAGGTACAGTACTTCATTTTCCCTGATCATACTTAACGATATAGAGTGACTCCGGAAAGGCAGGTGTGAACACTTTATCCCCTATCCCAAAAAATGAAAAATTGAAGAATCAAAGTTAGAGAAGCGATGGTGTTACATACATATAGGGTTCATGGGAGTTTGTTGATGAACATGAAGAAGGAAAAGCTTTTTGCGTGGGAAATTCGTCAATGCCCATAACAAAGTCGATTCACTTTCACCAACGTCTTTGCTTACTGCAACATAAACAGGATCGTCACTCGTAGCCTCTGCCATGGATTCTACAATTTTTTTTTCTATAGACAGACGATAATACACACAATTATTTAATTATTGTACGCACACATATATACACATCATTTTTTTCCCGTCCCTACAACTAAATTGCGAAGTTGTTTCCGACCATTTTCTTAGTCAATTACATTATACGGTTGCGAATAAGTCTGTAAACATTAATGTCTTTTTCTGAGAAAGAAAGAACAAAATATTTTTCTTAGAACGCGCCAATGGGTCAACGAGTCAAAGAAGCTAAAGAAAATATCTGATTCCGAAATCCGAAATCCGAAATCAAAGGCAATCAATAAAAACAGATTGGTTCGGATTGTGTTTTCTTTTATCCAAATTTAGGACCACCAATGTCCGATCAACCTCCGCTGCTACATTATGCAGTCTCTTTTGCGCCGGTATGTTTCATTCAATATCCGAACAAGGACAATGAAGTGGAGTCAACATCTGGGCCAAATCAAAAATGTTTGGGCCTATGATCGTGAAGTTAACGATTCAGATTACGACACGTCACATAGCTTTTGGTATTTAACGGTCAGATCTTCTTCGCCTATCCTAATTTTTCGCTTGTTATTTTTTTTATTACGGCCCATGGGCCAAATTTTCACACTCAAAACGAATCTAAAATCCACAAGTCTATTTCTCTCGATTGTTTGGTCTCTCTCTTGAATCGCCTCGTTAAAATTTCAACAATCTGGCTTCAATGTCGATGTTTCCACTTCATTTCAAAGTACAATCTTAGTATTCTCTTTTGTTCGTTCAGGAGAAGATTTTTCGAGCGAAAATTAGATTTGTCTAGTCGTAATTTGGTGATAAACATGGAGGATGCAATGCAGAGGAAAATTATCGCGGCAATTAGCGTGGGTTCCGTCATTGATATCCAATTTTGATCTCTTTGGTCTGTATCATCAGAGGAACAGAGAGAAAATCTAACATTGGTTTCTGGTGTCTGTAATTGCTTAGAGAATTGTTTCGAAAGAACATATATATACACAAATTGATGATGCTTAGTGAGTATCGCATAAATTAAATACATAGCACATTTCCAAAAATTCAAAATAAAATCGACATGTTATTTATCTCCTGTGATTAATCAGTGTTGTGATTTGGGTGATGCAGCAGCCAGTCGTTAATGATTGAACGAAGAGTGTAATTTGGGGTAAGATTGTGATTGGCGAGCCTTGCGCCCGTCTTTGGCGAGGTTTGATGTCCTCCTCTGAACCATGCTCCGATTTCCTTTGCCTCGTAGGTGTGACCGTCAGCGGCGATATGTGGATCTCGCATAATCTCCTAGATCACATGAAATCTAATATGATGTGCAAAAAGGCATTGAAACAACAAACCAAATCAGGAGATTTACTTGAAGATGCACGGTTTGAATCATTACCAATGAAATGGGACATTTGAAATCTGGGTGAGGCTTGTCGGAATCTACTTTGTTTCCGTTGCTTTTGTTCTTCTCTGGTTCCTCCTTCCTTACTCTCTTCGAAGCTTCTTCGGTTTCTAGTACCGTTCCCTGTTTTCAACGCAGCACGAAAAGCGTCTCAAATGGTAATCTTGATACTAAAGTGTGGTTTGGTCTGATGAAACATAAATTCAAGCTATTCATAATCTTTTACTTACTGAATGTTCTTTAGGTGGCTTGGTTTCATGTTCTTCCCTTCTTCTTCCTCTGCTTGGTTTCTGATCAGAAGCAGAGAATTCTGAGAATGAATCAGATGGATACCCGAGGTCGAAACTTCCTTCTCTGTTAAACAAAAAAAGAAAACTTTCTATTAAACTCTAAAATTATCACAAACACACAGAGACAAAAGTGTAATCCTCGAGCTTGCTTTGTCTTGATGAGTTTCCCTTTGCAGATGAACCACATTTTACAGCTATGAGGTGCATGCTGCGACACATACTCTGCTTTTCTAGATGTGATAGACATTCCCCTGCATTGTTAAAGAGAGGTTAGAGGATTTGCTTTATTACCTTGGCCTTGTTTGTTTACATTACATTACATAGCTTGATAAGGCTCTTGAGTGATCCTTACCTGGAGTAGTGAGGATCAGCTGCTGCTCCCATAACGAGCTTTGTGATGTTGTTTTGATAGATGAGCTCCACAATCCCTTCACCCACATCATATCCTGAGTACCACGATATATCCACATCTTCTTCTTTAACCTGCATCAATATATACATAGAATTGCTTTAGTATTTTCAAAATTATGTTTCCTTTTAGCTCCATCAATCTTGGGTCTATAGTGCTTTTGGATTTTCTTGGGATTTTATGCACTAAAACCAATCGACAACGATGAGATAACTTCCTTAGTTCTCACCTCTAGTTTGGATTCTTTACTTCGATTATTATTGTCATCGATAGTATAGTATTGTAGAATCAAAAAGAGAACTCACCGTTTTGTTTGTGCAGATATCTCGATACTTGTGGAGACTGTCATGTGCAGTTTTCAGTATCGATTCTTGGATTGTTTCGATCTCACTTTCTTCATACCCAGTTGCTGAAAATACACAAACAAAAAGACCATTTCAAAAAAAGAGCAAAATTCCAATTCAGACACTATATTAAGGTTAGTTCTCAGCATATGTGACATGAGTGCAATTGCAATCGCCCTGAAATACTCTATAACTGTGACAAGAACAAAAATTAGGTGAAATAACATGATGTGTGACTTAACTACAAATGGGTATAGCCGTATATGCCCAAAAACCTTATATGTCATGGCGGTAGGTAGAGTTGAAATTAGATTTGGTTCTAGAAAAATTGTTTTGCTTCTAATCCTTAAAACTAAAAATATGGATGTTGATTGTTTCATGACTTATTAAAGTAACTAGAATTTTGTTGGCATGGCAAAATATATTTCTTGTAATCTGACACATGATGATTGGTATGTGTTTTCTATACACATGAATTTCTGAATTACACCTAACCAAAGTTTTTTAATCAAACATAGAGAATCAATCGAAAACACTTACAAGAAGCGGTCAACGAAAATGGAATATGAACATGAAGGAGGCAAATCTTCTTGACATGAAAATTCCTCAACGCCCATAACAAAGTTGATTTACTTTCTCGAACATCTTGACTCACTGCAACATAAATGGTGTCGTTTTGCAAAGTTTCTCCCATGGATTCTTACTTTTGTGTTTTGTTGTTATGAACAAATGTATACAATTATGTTACAATATATATATATAGTGTGTGAGAGAGAGATACATGTATCTCTATTTCCCTTTGCAACGAACTTAAGTTGCAAGGAGGTTTCGGACCATTTTACGTGTTATTTCCTGGGTCAAGGGCCTGGGGTCAGCTTATTTCATTCACGCGAGTTGTTGAACTTTAGTGTTAACCAGTTTTTGTTACACTTGTCCATTAAGTTTCTGAGAATAATGTCGAAAATCAAAAAGATTGAGTGTTGTTTTGGTATATGCATTACGTCACTTTGTTGACGTCATTATCTTGACGTCGTCACTACCGGTTTCAATTTTATTGTGGTTATTAATTAATTTCATATAGACACTAAAAGTAAAAATCTTAGGTTTTAATCGAGCGGCAAACGAATCTCAGTTTCGCAATTTCTGTGTCCCTCTAAAATCCAGAAAGTCTATTTCACAATTGTTCGATCTCTCTCTCTCTTGAATCGAAGAATCGCCTCGTTGAATTTCGACAATCTGGCTTCAATGTCGATGTTTCCACTTCATTTCAAGGTACATTCTTAGCTTCTCTTTTGTTCAGGAGAAGATTTTTCGAGCGAAAATTAGATTTGTCTAGTCGTAAGTTGGTGATAAACATGGAGAATGCAATGCAGAGGAAACATTATCGCGTCAATTAGCGAATGGGTTCCGCCATTGATGTCCAATTTTGATCTCTTTGGTCTGTATCATCTCTTGAAATCATAGGAACAAAGATAAAATCTAACATTGGTTTCGGGTGTCTGTAATCGTTTAGCAATCGTTTCGAAAGAACATATATATATACACAAATTGCTGCTTAGAGAGAATCGCATAAATTAAATACATATCACAGAGGAATTCCAAAAATTCACAACATAATCGACATGTTATTTATCTCCTGTGATTTAATCAGTGTTGTGATTTGGGTGATGCAGCAGCCAGTCGTTAATGACTGAACGAAGAGTATAATTTGGTGTAAGATTGTGATTGGTGAGCCTAGCGCCTGTCTTTGGCGAGGTTTGGTTTCCTCCTCTTAACCATGTTCTGATTTCCTTTGCCTCGTAGGTGTGACCATCAGCAGCGACATGTGGATCTTTCATAATCTCCTACATCATATAAAATCTTACATGATGAGCAAAAAGGCATTGAAACAACAAAGCAAATCAGGAGATTTACTTGAAGATGCAGAGTTTGAATCCTTACCAATGAAATGGGACAAATGAAATCTGGGTGAGGCTTGTCGGAATCTGCTTTGTTTCCGTTGCTTTTTTTCTTCTCAGGTTTCTCCTTCCTTACTCTCTTTGATGCTTCATCACCATCGGTTACTGAATGTTCTTTAGGTGGCTCGGTTTCATGTTCCTCCCTTCTTCTTCCTTTGCTTGATTTCTGATCAGAAACAGAGAATTCTGAGAATGAGTCTGATGGATACCCAAGGTCGAAACTTCCTTCTCTGTCAAATCAAAGAAAACTTTCTATTAAACTCTAAAATCATCAGAAAACACACACGGACACAAGTGTAACTGTGTAATCCTCGAGCTTACTTCGTCTTGATGAGTTTCCCTTTGCAGATGAACCACATTTTACAGCTATGAGGTGCATGTTGCGACACATACTCTGCTTTTCTAGATGTGATAGACATTCCCCTGCATTGTTAAAGAGAGGTTAGAGGATTTGTTTTATTACCTTGGTCTTGTTTGTTTACATTTTACATAGCTTGATAAGGTTCTCGAGTGATCCTTACCTAGAGTAGTGAGGATCAGCTGCTGCTCCCATAACGAGCTTCGTGATATTGTTTTGATAGATGAGCTCCACAATCCCTTCACCCACACCATATCCTGAGAACCACGATATATCCACATCTTCTTCTTTAACCTGCATCAGTATACATAGAATCCCTTTAATATTTTCATTGTCATGGCTACGCGAGTGTATTGTAGAATCGAAAAGAAAACTCACCCCTTTGTTTGTGCAGATATCTCGATACTTGTGGAGACTATCATATGCAGTTTTCACTATCGACTCTTGGATTGCATCGATCTCACTTTCTTCAAGCCCACTTGCTGATAATACACAAACAAAAAGACCATTCAAAACAGAGTAAATTCCAATTCAGACACTATATTAAAGTTAGTTCTCAGCATATGCGACATGAGTACAATTGAAGTTGCCCTGAACATGTTATGGGTTCTATAACTGTCACTGGAAAATCCAAACTTGATAAGAGAAGAACAAAAATGAGGTGAAATAAAAACATGGTGTGTGACTTGACTACAAATGGGTATAGCCGTTTATGCCCAAAACCTTATATGTCATGGTGGTAGGTATAGTTGAAATTAGATTTGGTTCCACAAACTTGCTTTTGTTGCTTATTCTTAGATTTGAAAATTAGGATGTTGATTGTTTCATGACTTATTAAAGTAACTAGAATTCTGTTGGCATGGCAATATATATTTCTTAAAATCTGACAAATGATGATTGGTATGTGTTTTCTATGCATGAATTTTTGAAACTCATAACTTTATGTAAACATATTCCCAGATATATATGATCTACCCATATGATTGATTGGTATATGTCTTTTCCAATTCAACTTCTTTGGAGTGAATTGTCCATGAACAATCTACATGACCTAATCAAAGTATCTTGGCACCCCCAACGAAATGAAAAAAATGCAAAATCCAAACGTAGAGATTAGAGAATAAATCGAAAACACTACTTACAAGAAGCGGTCAAGGAAAATGGGATATGAACATGAAGGAGGCAGAGCTTCTTGACATGAAAATTCCTCAATGTCCATAACAAAGTTGATTTACTTTCTCGAACATCTTGATTCACTGCAACATAAATGGTGTCGTTATACAAAGTTTCTCCCATGGTTTCTTACTTTGGTTTTTTTGTTGTTATGAACAAATGTATACAATTATATTACAATATATGGTGAGAGAGGAAGAGAGAGACATCAAGGTATATCCTTTTGCAACTTAAATTGCAAGGAGGTTTCGGACCATTTACGTGTTATTTCCTGCCTGGGTCAATGGCCTGGGGTCAGCTTATTATATTCATGCGAGCAGTTGAGCTTTACACTTGTTTGTTAAGTTTCCTGAAATAATAGTGTTTTAACCAATTTCTTTGCACTTCGACATTAAGTTTCTGAGAATAAATGTCGAAAATCATTGAGCGGATATTTTGTACATCAAATTTTTTAATAATATATCTTGACGTCACCACCGGTTTTATTTCTGCTATGTTCTAGAGTCGAAAACCGCTTGACTAAAAAGAACTGAACAAGTCAATCTTATTTATTTTGAAAGGCAAATGGGCTTAATATTGTACAAACTAAGGCCTACTTTATATGGGCTTTCTAAACCCATAGGATCGTCTATTTCCCGCTACATTCATCACAACGGAAAATAATGTATTTATTTTTCTTGTCATT